GAAATAATAAAACGTGATTGATTAAATGTAATATGTGTACCATTATCATTAACTTTTAAATCAACATGTAATATTGGATAATTTAATTCTTGAAGCCAATTTTTCATAAATGTTTCTCCACTTATATTTTTAAATAAATTATTATAAAATATACTTGGATCACCAATATTAAATGCATTCATTTTTAAATAATCTCGTAAACCATCACGAAATGTATTTGCACCAACTATTTTTTCTAACATACGTAATATACTTGCACCTTTTGAATATGTTATAGAATCAAATAAACTAGTTATTTCAGCAGCACTTGTTACATTTTGAACAACAACTGGATGTGATGATGGTTTTGCATCATCCCACATAACAGGAATGACTTCTTCAGTTAATGCTTGTAATTCCTTCAGACAAAAATATTCTTCAATTTTAGTTAGAAAATAATCAAAAAATAACTTATTCTACCATATTCCAATCAGGATAATAAGTTTTGAATGGCTTATATGAAAGCCAAGTAGCCATAGCTTCATTTAACCAAAGATCATCCCACCATTTACATGTTACATAATTACCAAACCCTATGTATATAAACATGATTTTTATAGCTTATTTTAAATTTAATAAAGCTTACAAAAATGAGCTATTTCATGTGCCATTGTTTCTCCTAATTGTTGTTTTTGAATTATTGATGCAATTTTTTCATTAAATATTATACGATCTTCACGAAATGATACTAAACCCCAATTTTCCATTGCACCCGATGCAAAATCCGGTACAGCCAAAAGATCTTATTAGACAGTTTTAAATCAGAATATTTATATAGAAATTCGATATAGTTACCAATTTTAGGTGTAACAGCTTCTGATGTATTGAAATAATCGGTAAAGAATGAAACAGAATTAAGAGCTACTTCAAGTGCTAATGCAGTATGACCTTTATCTGTCGGTTCACGACGAGCCCATACTGTTATCTAGAATAAATATATTATTAAAAATAAAAATATTCTTTAAAGATTCCATATATATATATATACTTTTGGTTTATCGTCATTATTGGTTAATTGCCCATATGTATTAGGAAGAATAGCCCAAGCAGCCAAATAAGTACTCATACGAAATGTATCAGCAAAAGTTGTTCGACGTAAATTATTTTCAATAGTTTGTTCAATCTATTAAAAATAATAACTTGTTGAAAAAAATATATTTTATAAAAACATACACTTGGAAAATTTGCTATAGCAATAGTATCTTCCGGATGGAGAATACTTATTTTGAAGACAGCTTTAAATTCTGGTTCATCAAAACAAGGAAATGCTTTTCGAGCATCAGTTGGTTGAAATTTTGAAGCTAATAATTTTCTATAGGAATAAAAAACAACAACGTAAAATTCTAAATGTCTATGCGAAAAAAAACATGTCTTTACCCTATTGTTCCATTACCATCATTATATAGAGTTTGATAAAAACCTATATTACCATAAATTAAACTGACAATAAACTTTTGTTTTAAAATATATTGATTGGCTGAAAACAATGAATTTTTCGATAAAAGTTGTAAACTAACATAATCATGTGGTGAATAGGTTCGCATTGTAACAAGACGATGAACACCATCTTCATAAAGTACTGGTTCATCAAGTTCAATCATTCGCTTTGCATGATAAATAAGTTGATTAGTAGGTTCTTTAAGTGTAAAATTAATTGTTACATGTCCTTGTACAGTTATATCACTAATATCATTATAGATATATTCTAATTCATAACTGTGAACTTCTAAATTTGATAATAAACGTGGATTACATTCACCTTCAATACATATTGATGGATCGAAATCTGTAGTTGTTTCTATCGTTGATTCATCTGATAGTGTAGAAAGTGTATTGACCTCTTGTATTTGTTGAGGTATAAGACGAGCATGTAGACCAATAGTGATCAATGATGTACAAAAAAATACAACACTAACTATAATCCGTGACATTGTTAAGCGACGAAATGTTTGTATGTAATGAAAGCACGTTTTTCTATTTCCTTTTCTTTCCAATTTGACCTAGATCAAACTTCTTTATGATATCGTTATCCTTTATATTTTACAGCGCAAAATGATAGATAATGATCGTTTGCAGCTGCTATTATTGTTGTTATTCTATCGTTAAAACCTTTCAGTAAATAACAGTTGTAATAATACACATATGTACCGAATGTATAGAGAGAATACAAACAAGACCTTTCGACTAGGATGCGCGTGTCTCCTTTACTTAATTCGATTTATTCGCAGATGAAAAAGATACTATTAGATAAGAGCAAAATATCATTTGACAGACTTTTACGAACAATTATTTCCATCTGGTGTGTTTATCAATTTTTCGTAATTTGGAGAATACATTAAATAGCCTACTTGATATTTTGATCATTTGTTGTTACTTCGTGGATCTTTTCTTTTGTGTTGAATTATATGAAAATGAATGATGCCTTCTTTAGATCATCTGATCTTTTTCCATTTATATTTTATTAATGCTCTTTCTTGCAGAAAATGTAAAATACTTTCTTTTTTATTAACGGGTAGTGTAGATTAAGCAGAAGAATATCATTCTCTTTTTTTTAGGAGGAGGACGTTCAGATACACTTTCAGAAAGTTATTTAATATTATTCGATGGAGATGACTCAATCGTCCGACTGCGACATTGAAAAAAAAATGAAAAAGTGATGCAGTTTTTTTTAACAATGATTTTCTAACGATGGCAAGTATACCATGGAATTTTTTAGAAAACTCTGCTTCTTTTGATATATGTATCAGAAGAAACGTTCGTAAGAATAATCATGAAGTAAAAACTGAGAAAAACGCTTTGTCTGACAGCATTATATGATTATCCGTTTTTTTAAGTCGATCTAATCTAATCGTTTGTATTCTTCAACTAAGAAAAACAAACAAAGTACTTTTGTAGAGTGAAAAATTCTTCAATAAATAAATATCTGACTGTCTTGGAAATGCTCCAAACAAGAAAATAATATTGCGCCATTTATTCTACGCAGCTTGTTACTATTATTAATATTCCATGCAAAAGTTAATCAATTGACGAGCAATCAGCATTTCGAAAAACATTTCGAAATACTATAAGTAACTGGAAAATAGATTCTATTATGGGATATATGCTGAATGTCTCAAGAGTACAATGCTTTGAATGATATATGGATTCTCTTCATGTAAAAGTCAATAATGCCATCAATAATTATTAGATATTACCAAGTGTGGCTAGAGTTTTCCAACACTTTTTCTTTGTATGTAACTTTATTCAGAAATATAATTAAGCGTTAACCTTTTTTAAGGATAATGTATTATCTCCTAAAATGAAAAATAAGCGAAAACCAAAAATTTTTGAATCTTTATTTTGATAATTATTGTTCATTCATTCTAGTTCTAATATGTAGCATCATTCAAAGATCTAGTGTGGGTTTCAAAACATGAAGATCATTATTCATTCTCATATCAAATATATATGAAAAATAATGTCTGTGTCAATCAATCTGAATGTTGCGCTCTTAAATAAAATATTTTTTGCTGTATTGCTCGCAAATAAATCATCTGAAAAACAGTGAGCTGCATGTAGGAATCCGTAGATTAAACTTCCGCGAGTGTGGAAAGAAATCAAGCTGAACAAAATAATACAATGAGAAATTATCTTCAACTAAAGGTGATGAAAATACGTTTTAGAGAAATCATTACTGATTTTATAGGGAGTATTGGTGAAGTGATGAATGTAGTCTTCTTTGATAGTGTCTAGGACGGTCCATTTTATCTAGCACTGATTCGATTAAAAATGGTCATAGTTGTGAGTCGAAAAATCGTGTTTTCCTTCTGGAAAACAATACCGCAACACACGTGTTCAGTGTCAGTGATCTGTTAAATTTTCGAAAATATGTATAAAGATGATTTTGTCTTGTGCTCCGAGTAGAATATTCATAGAGCGTCTTTTGTAAAAAAAGAAAAAAAAAGATCAACAATCTATTATGTTCCTGAATAGAGTTGCAGTAGTGGTCAAAAAGAACTCCGTCCCAGTGGAGCTCGGTCACTATATGCATTGGAGGGCTGAGCTTCTTACATTTGTACTTCACCAAGAATTTAGAACACTGGCACTGCTAAGTGACTATGATTTACTTACAAACAAAGTTATGATGGACGGCATCTATATTGGGATCGGCATTGTGATTTTTAAAAACTGTATATAAAATTTCGTCTAAAAGATAAGTTCATTTGCTCGAATATTGATGTTTCTGGATTCTTGAAAACCAATAGAACTATCATCTACTTTTCAATATTCTTTAGTAGAAGATTGGCATCTAAAACTTTTAAGTGATAGTTTCTGATAGCAAAGAAAGCTTCCAAAAAAGTTTGAAATCGTTTCATTTAATTATCATTGAGTTATTGACTTTCAAAGAGTAGTAGACGGTTTTTCTTCTCAACAATGAGCATAATCGTTGAAACGATTGATGAACTTCAATGAAATTAGTAATGTAGATAGCTGTGACATAGCATTACATAATTAGAAGTTTGCTGACACAGGATACTTCTTGTTTTTTTCTGGCTCATGAGACTTCCAACAAAAACAAGTGTCATCCATCATAACTTTCTATGTAATATAAGTGGATAATAGCATTGCAATTCCAAACACTGACATACGTTCTCGGTGAAGTGCATATATATAAATTTTCATGCCTTCAGAATATATGGTGGTTGAGAGCTGCTGAAGCAGAGACCTTTATCAACTACTGTACATGCGAAACGAAGAATATTTCAAATTTTTTGTCACAATTGATATCGATTGCGAACATTTCAAATTAATATTCATTCAATAAAATGAATATACTTTGTTCATATCTCATGATTCTTTGATATTAAATAAAAAAATATATTTGTTTGAAAACTTTTATTTTTTTCTAGAAATATTTAAAGATAAAAATTAGATAATAAGTTTTAAATTTTGAAATATAAGAATGTCAAAATGTTTTATAATTAATTAAGTTTTTTTTTCGAACCACTCTTATCGGCCACTGATATAGCATCATCAAGAGACTTAGCCATGCCATCGACAAGCCATTCGAAATTCATTTGAATTTGATCAACAGCTAATTGTTGAAATTGTGTTGGACTTGGATTTTGATTAATAAAAGTAACCATCTACAAAAGTGAAATAAAAAAAAGATCATGATATTCATTAAAATTTATAACAAATAATTAACCTCCTGATAATAATATTTATTTTCAAATGATTGAGCAATACTAGCAATTAATTGATTAAATAAACGATTGGTTCTACCAAATCTATAAGCAGAAAAAACGAGTTGAACATACTTAGTTTTTTTTTCTTCGAAAATATATATTTTACCTATAGAGTAAAGCTGGATAATTATGACGATAAAAATTCCAAACAACATCACGTCCACTTGGATTCTGACTTGTTGAAATAAGTAAATCAAAAAATTCTTGTGTTTCTATTAAATCTGAATTTATATCAGCAGCAATTTCCAATAAACTAAATTAAGATCAAAAGAAATTTTTTTTTTGCAATAGAAAAATAACAGAAAAAAAGAAAGCTTACGATTTAAGACGCCAAACTTCTTTTGCTGCACCAAGAGCTCGTAAAAATGTAATACGTTGTTGTGATGTTATATTTAAATTTTCAGTTAAATTGTACCATAAGTGGTCCCATTCATCTATATCATTTGCATTTTGTATATGATAATATATAACTGTTGGTAAAAAATCAGGATCAATACTAAGAATTCAAATAATTAAAATGAACCGAATAATAAAGAAAGCAAAAAGAATAAAGAAACAAACTTTGTAACACCAGTTGAATTGTAAAAATAATTTGATGAAATACCACGAAAAAGTTCAGTAGCTTTATTTAATGCCTCAGTATTTTGAACACGACAAAGTAATTCAAAAAACAGTGATTTAATTAATCTAAATATATTAATTATTACTTTTTTTTGTCAATAATAAATCGATGCATTACAACAAATAAACTATCATAGAAATTTTCATTCTATAATGATGTTATCCTTTTTGTATGATTAGACAAACTCTTCGATCAAATAAAATATATTTGTTCAACTTGTATCTTCAGAATTCTTAAGTATTGAATCGTAGCCTTTATGACATATAAACAGTTCAAAACATCACTTCTCAACAACTTTTACTCATTATATTAAATAGATATGTGACAGCTCCAATTTAGCTCTTGCAACTGAAGTTGTTCACCAGTTCATTTTGAGCTGAATGAGAGTTGCTCCATCCATGAATTAATTAATTGTAATCACAATTATTAACCATATTCATAAATATAGTAGTCGTAAAAAGTTCCACTAATATGTAAAAATGGCCTAAACTTTGACCATTTAGTCTCATAACTTAACCAAGGATAGAGCATGTTGAACTCTGATTGCAAGGACTTCGTTAATGTTTTTTGCAACGGAGCTAGAAGTTTGACATAGATTTGTTTTCTTCAGACGAAGACATGTTAAAATAGAAAACAAACTCCATGACGTTAGATTTCTCATTCGATAAATTAGTGCAGCCTCTATTAATAAGAAAACTTCCATCTGAAACGCTTTTAGATTGTCTCGTTTATGAAGCATCATTTGGATAATGTTCATATGAGAGCTGATGCAAATTGTCAAAAAGTGACTCATAGATCAAGCTAATTATAATTACTAGCCTTAAAAATTTTGCAGTCACAGTCGTCAATTGAGAATAAAATCATGCTGAGACCACTCCACATTATGAAGGCTACTCTGCGCCTAAAACTACAGCAGATTGGAGTATTCTATCTAGAACACAATGCAGACATGTGAATTCTTAGTTGTTAATAAGAGAATAAAGGTTAAGACACAGTTGAATAGTGAAAATCCAAAAAAGTATCGAAAACGCTTTTTTTTGGGTTCTATGGAAAACAACAATGGTTTCATCGTAAATCCTGTGCATGAAAGCCTATCAAGCTTGGTTTGTTGCTTGAGATCAATGTTTATCTAGCCCTGTTGGTAGTCAAAATATCAAGTAAAAAAATTGAAGTTTGTACTATTTATTCTTAGCAGGACTTCTTACAACTACTGTACTCAGTGATGATGAATGAGCGATTAATTAATTAATGACTAATGCTATTGAAATACTTGCTGAACAGTTTAAAACAACTGGTTGAGTAAATTGACTAGTTCTTTTAAGCTCAGACCTATCACACACATGATTTTAAACACAATAACTTCTATTACATTCTCAATGAGACGATCAGAACTACAATTTAGTAGCTTGAATTAATAATATCTACCTTTCTTGATGATTTGCTCCGGTGGTAAGGAGATTATCGATATTGTTTTGATAGAGCTCCATAATATGTCGTGTTGCGAATTGCTAGAAAAAAAAATAGATGCATAAAATATCTCAAAATTATCAGCAATTTTTTTTTTGAATACTTTGAAATTATAAAAATATTTTGAATGTTCTTCGACACCCATTAAATAATTCCAATGCCATACGAAGACAGACAATGGTAGATAAAAAGAAGTTGGATCTTCAGTCATTTCACGTACAAGACTTACTGTTTCATCATAAGTAACAATTTCACCACCATGTGGAAGAATAAACGCATCATTAAGTATATTAGCTTTATCAGTATTAGAAAATACATTCTATTTTTACAAATACAAAAAAAGACAAGAAAGAAAACTATTAATTCAAATAAATATAACTTACTTCATAAAGTAAGAATACAAAATGTTGCCATAATTCATACATATCTGCTTCTTTTGTTAAATATTCTGTAACTTGATATGAATAAAAATCTTTATTACATTTGATCCATACATATTCTTCATTTGGTATTACAATTGTATGATTTGATGATTCAAACATAAACTTTATTTTCGATGGAGCATGATTATCAGTTAAATTCAAAGAATTTTCATCACGTACACCACCTAAATCACATTCCATATAAATTTTCCAAACATAATTTAGATTTGATGAACTACTATTTGATGCAAATGAACCGTAATAACGTGCTTGACGAAAATTAATTGTTGTACTTTTGGTTGTATCATTACTTGGTATGAATTCAACAGTTACTAATGGATAATTTTTTTCTTCCAGCCATGAACGAAGAAATTCTTCTGGCGTACTTGCTGTATTTAATGTTGGAGGAAGAACAAGTTTTGAATAAAATGTTTTTAATATCATTGACACGTCCTTTATTGATATAATTTCTTGAACAGCACTTTGAAATGCTTCATTACCAACAATATATTCAAGTAGACGAAGAAATGAAGTACCTTTACTATAAACATATACTGATAAATAATCAAGAATCTGTGCATTATTTGTTAAATTTTTATTTGATACAGGCCATATACTTGGTTTAAAATCATCCATCATCAATGGAATCATTTCTCGCATAGGAAATTGTTCCATCTATAATATGATATTGACAAGAGAGAAAAATAAAGAATTTTTTAAATAATATAATAATAACTTACTAATTTAAATGATGGATACTTTTCTTCAATCATTTTATAAGCAAGATATGATGATAGTGATTTACCAAACCATATATTATCCCACCAATCCGTTGTTGAAAACCACTAAATATAATAAGTAAAGTTTCATGAGAAAAATAAATAAGTTTTTCTTTTTACAATTTGTATAATATGTTCAACAATTGCTTTGGTTCTTGTTTGTAATCGTTCAGCAGAATTTAAACTATAATCAGTACTAAGAAGTTCTTCACGAAATGTTAAAAGACCCCATGATGCTGAAGCTCTTTCATCAACAATTAAATCAGGTACACCAATCAAATCTATATATATATATATATACATATTAATAATAAATTTATTTAATTAAACTAATTGAATTACCAAGTTTAGTTGGTATATTTTCATCTGATAGGTTTAGATATGTTTTCAAATAATTGAGAGTCTCTTCAACAACTTCGAATGTCCAATTCAAGTATTGATTTGATGCACCAATCAATTCTGGTCGAACCCAAATATTAACCTAAAATTTATTATTTTTGTAAAATTCTAACAATTTATTAATGAAATTATTTACTTCAGTAATTGAAAAATTTTGTGTTACTGTTTCAAATTCGTCTAAAGGTAGAACAGCCCAAGAAAATGAATAAGTACTCATAATTGGTGTTGCTTCGAATGTTGTCAAAGATTCTGTTTGAAGCTATTAAAGAGAAAAATATCATTTGTAATTATTATTTTTGATTTTTTTTGTAATTGATCATAATCTTACCGATGCAGCACTATTTGATAATGCAATAGTTGAATTTTGTGGATGTTCAATTGTCAAAATAAATTTTGCTTGCATACTTGGTTCATCAAAACATGGAAAAGCTTTAAAGAGGAAGAAAATTTTATTTTTTATTTGTGTGTTTTTTTGTTCAATATGATTTTTAAAAATTGATTTCTTCTTTTTACCTTTTCGTGCATGAGTTGGTTGAAAATTACCAGCTAATATACTATAAAAAAAATATTTGAATATATAGACTTTCTAAATCATAAAAATTTATTTACTAGCTTAATTCACCAATTGTTTTCCAAAACCATTCACGATAAAATCCAGTATTATCTTCTTCATTAATTTCTCCTGTATAATCAATTTCCAGAGTAATTTGGCCAGTACTAATAGGTGTAGGACCAAAATCTAGATGAACCATTTCAAATTCTGGTAAATATGTTACTGTTGCTGTGCTTCCACTACCACCAATTAATTTTGCTTGTGTTATATTTAGATTTTTAGCATGAAGTATAAGATATTGTGTTGCAATTAAAATATCAATACGAATAGTTACTTTTCCATGGAATGTAGTTATAGGTATACTCTCTGACCATGTATAACAATAAGGACAAACAAAATGTAATGTATAATCAATAGGTTTTGCAAAATTTGGTAAACGCCAAGAGTCATACGGTCGACTAGTATTAGCCCATGGATCGAGTGTAGTCGTTCGTGTTGATGTAGGGAAATTAGTGATAACCGGTCGTGTTACTGATACAGTACTAACTGTACTTCGTGGTGTTGTTATTGTAGTTGTTGCTGGACTACATATCGGTGGAACAATATTACATTGATCACGATTACCAACATCTCGAACATATCTTCGATGATAATCCGATGAAACATCCGAATTATAAGATTGAGGTTCGACTGCATTGTCTATCTTGTTCATATCACATTCATTCGATTGATATCGAGAAATGAACGGTACTATAGCGAATAAACATGCTATAGCTGCAATAATAAGTGCAAATAATTGCCATATTGATAATTCGATTTCTCTATTCGTATGTTTCATTGCTATCTTCATTCGTCAAATGAAACAGGTAAATGTGAATCGACGCAAACTCTTATTTAAAACAAAATGCTTCACGCAAGTCTAGGTGTATGATAAAATTGCCGATGTCATAAAACTTGAAAATATTTAATGAAAAAAAGAAAGTTCTCTAGTCATGACTTTACAGCTGGGAATGATTATAAAATACGAAGTACAGCAATTCGTTGATAAAGAAATTTATATAGCTCAAGAATACTCTGCAAACAAATTTTATTCTTGATACAGGTTTTACTAGTCTGTAAAGAACTGTAATTTGGTTTTTTATGATCGATATCAGTAAATATTGTTAAAGAGAATTTTGCTCATATTGGTTGCTTTTTCAAAAAATACGAAAGACATACGAAGATAAATTTATGCATCAAGAAAAAAATTTCGTTTATTAAATGTATTAAGAACAAACAAATCTCATGAAACTATATTATTAATTTGTGAACATAAGCATAATAAAATCCGTTCTTAGAATTACTGCCATCTTTTGAATAGTTATGCATTCGGATTTGTTCGATGGTATTCGCCAATACCTAACGAAAGAAAAAACGACGATTAGACAGAAAAAAATTACAGCTAATTTGTGTTCAATATTTTTCGCAAAAAAAACACGTTTTTTTTAAAATTTTAATATATCAATGGATGAAAACACAACTGTGCATGAAAATTCATCGATTCATTTATCTACTAATGAAAACCATGATACCCATGCAAATTTATCAGATGTATGTTCTATTTTTTTTATATTATATAAATATATTATTCAATTGTTTAACAGAATTCTCAGCTCAAAGCTGAATCTACATTTATATCTAATGAAAACTTTGAATCATCAAAAAATCGAGCTGTAATTCAAACAAATTATTCCACACATAATAAATCGGTAGAATATAATTCTATATATTCATATGCATTAATTAATTTCGTTTTCTTCTATAATTGTCATTTAGCTTGATGATATAAATAATCCTATGTCTAGATTATCTATGTATGACGTAAGATCAATAAATCGTTCAAATTCAAATCGTTTTCGTCTACATCCAAGTTATTCATATCATCATTCAATGCAGCCATCTCCGTACTTTCCTCCACAACGTATGAATCAACCTGAAACTCAAGCACAATTAGTTGCTTTCACTCCACCATTGATGTCAATTCGTTTACCCGATCCAGAAGTTCAACCATATGAACAGAATTATTGTCCACCAAGATCATACATGCCAAATAAATCCAATGAACAATCATCTTTACCAATAAAATGTAAACTTGAAACAGTAACATCACAACCAGAATATTATGTGGATAGTTTTGCATCAAATTTTTCTGATAAACCATCTTCAGATAGTCATAATAAAACAAAAACAAAACATGTTACTTTTCAAGAACCAGAGATGACAAAGTGAGAACTGACTTTTCGTTTGTTTTCAATAAAAATCTTACATATATTTGTTTTAGTGAATTATTAAATGCAAATGCAAATTCAAATCATATGAATTATCCATTATCATCATCTAGTTCGACATTCCCAACTTATATGTATCCACCTTCACGTCCATCTAATCGATATTATAATCCTTATAATCGTCATAATTACAATCAATTTCATTCACAACATCCTAATGTGATGATGAATTCACGATTGATGAATCGTCCTCGTGGAATGAATATGATGTCGATGCCTCACGTATGGACGTAAGTTTCTTAAAATTCAATTCTTTTTTTTTATTAATAGTTTTTGTCTATATAAAGTGTCGAAAACTCAAAATCATAGTGAAAAAATCAATTTCGTTGAATTTTGCACAGGTCAATATAACTTGCGATGTTGATTCTGAGTATCACTTTCTTGATCTCATGTGGCCTTGTTTCGGTAGTAAAATTCCGCATTTTCGCCTACTTACTTTTGCCATGTATTGTTCAAACTATTTTATTCTGATTTAGCATACTTGATTGTGTTTGATTATTATTTCCTCACTAGACAAGCTCGACAGAAACTATGCTGACTCAAATGGGTTTCTAGATCTTGTAAATCTATCTCAGTTTTTTGTTCGAAGAATTTCTTTTCAAATGTCACACATCATACAAATCGCTAAAAAGACAAAAGTATAAGACGTTTCTTTAAAAAGTCAGTCATGTTTAATGAGAAAAGCTATTCTTTCGTTTTCTATGATTAAGTCATACAAATATGAGCTCATATTTCGCAATATTGACCATCATAATTTTATTCAATGACAAAACATATATGATATTTGGAATCACCATAAAGCCTGCGTCCACTGACACATGTTTTTCTCAGAAATAGTATTCGTCGGGATCGCGTCTGTACTTCCTCTCAGTCCTTTTTGTTCAATAATTTTGTTTGCAGCTCCTAGAGGCGAGATTTCAACGAAAACTTGTTTCAGAAAAACATGTATCATTCGACATAGATTTTTATGCTGATGCCAAATATCATGTACGTTTTGTCATTGAATAAAATTATGATGATCAAAATTGTGAAATACAAGCCCATTTTTGTATAAGTTGCCCTCTGAAAATAAAAGAATTGATTTTGTGATGAAACATTACAGACTTCTCGAAAAAAAAACGTCTCATACGTTTGTTTTCTGTCTTTTAGTGATTTGCATGATGTGTGATGTTTGAGACAAGCTCTTCACACAAAAATGGAAATAGGTTTACAATATTGAGGAATGAGACCTGTTTCTGTCAAGCTTCTTAAACGAGGGAGCAATAATCAAACAATTCAAATATATTAGAATAACATCCCGTTTTTTCATACTAAATCAGAACAGAATAGTCTGAACAATAAATAGAAAGAGTAAGTAGGCGAAACCTTGAGATTTCGCGATCTGAATGTCATACGAAATTTAAAAAGTGATACTCGGAATCAGTTTCGCAAGCTGTATTGACTCACGCAAAATCCAACGACATGCAGTTTCCATTACGATTTTAAATTTTTGCTATCTTATTTAATACAAAAAAAAATCATCAATTCATCGTTTAAGTAATTGTTGAAGAAGTTTCTGTAGTTGTTGACACAGTGTCTGTTTGTTGTGGATATACGGTCTCCATTAAACCATTATCACTCATTTCTCTCGTCGTTTTCATGCAATCAATTAAGACTTGTGAAATAGAAATAAAAATTTCTATACTAAGTAACAGAAGAAATATTATAATACATATTGCTTCTTCATATATATCATAACGTGATGGTATAATTGATTCATATGGTGTATCCTTCAATAGAATACCAAACTGTGCATAATAATCATGAAATGAATACATTTTTGTGCTGATATTCTTCGTATAGTAAATACTATAAGTTCAGCGCGTAAAAATTGTATTATAAAATTTTAATGATGATAATTTTATTGTAGACCGCAATCATATTATGTCAATCCACAAATGTCACATATTCATCATCATTTTCAACCAAAACAACTCTATGATCCAAATAAACCAAAAGTACCGTCAACATCTGAATGTCATAATTCATCGAAAGTAATTCGTAAAATCGAACCAAAAAATAAGAAAAAAACAAAACAAACAACTAATATTGGTGATTCGACTGTATCAACATCGGAACCTATTCCACATCCAATTACAATTCTTCGTAAACCAAGTACAGATACTGAAACTATTACATCATCAACTTCTACTGTTTCACAATTAGCTGAAGATCAATCCATTTTGTCATTGAAAGCAGAAGAAGACAAACAACAACAACAACAACAACAAGAAAAAATGACTTCATCAAACAAAGATAATTCAAACGTTCTATGTGAAAATGAACAACCAATTTGTTCCACAATTGAAAATTGTTCAGATATTTCATTGAAAGAAGAACAAACAAGTATTTCATCAATAGATAATCAATCTGTATCTAATACAAATTTATTATTACCCAGTCATGAACTTTTATCTATTTTACAAAATGCAAATTGTATATCTTCTTTAAATGAATATGCTCAACAAAAAAAATTTACATTAAATTATGAATATTCTTCTATTTCTCCATCATCATTTACATGTATAATTTCAATTAATGGTCGTGCATTTCCAAGTTCACAAATTTGTTCATCAAAAACTGAAGCACAAAAATTAGCGTGCGATCAAGTCGTACGTTTACTTTATCGTGAATCATGTAATAATGAACAATTTTCATTTGAATTTTCACATAAACATGATTATATTGCACATCGATCTATATCAACATTTCAAGATTTAAATGTAAATGAATTATTACTTGGTCGAAAAACATTAGCATGTATGTTAATGATAATTGATGGACAATATGAACAAGCACGTGTAATTAGTATTGCTACTGGAAATTCTTGTCTTGATGAAACAAATCTTATTTATGCTGATGATGGAATAGCTTTACATGATTGTCATGCTGAGATACTTGCACGTCGTGGTCTTATTAGATTTTTATTTGAAGAAATTAAACAATCAAAAGATAATAAATTATCAATTTTTGAATATAATTCAATAATTAATAAATATCAACTTCATGATAATATTACATTTCATATGTATATATCATCATTACCATGTGGTAATGCTTCATTTAATATCTCATCAAATTCCATACGTTATAAACAAGGTCAAACAGAAGGTACGATCCTTGGTTCAACAAGTTCAATAAAATATTCAATAAAATCATGTAGTGATAAAATATATCGATGGAATATCTTAGGTATTCAAGGTGGTCTATTAATAAATTTACTTACTAAACCAATTTATCTTGAATCCATAACATTAGCATGTGAAACAACATTTGATCGTAATCATGTCAAATATTCATTATGTGAACGTTTAAATGAACATTTTCATTCATTACCATCTCCGTTTATGTGTCATTTACCTGATATTGATTGTCCAAAAATAAAATCATTTCAACATGAAAGACAAGTAGCTAAACTTCAAACAAGTGCTTTTGCATGGAATATTACAAAACCAGATAGAAGGGAATTATTAGAACCTATGAC